TTATTCCCTGAGATCGGAAAGTCATCTTTCATACGTCATGGGCTGCTTTGGTACTGTATAAACAGCTAATGATCTCCTAAATCAGGCCAGCTCGACCTTGCCTTTCACCAGAGCTGTTGGGCCTTGGAAATCAAGAGTTGGGGGCTCCTCTAGGAGCCCGGGAAGCTGACTGTCTTGGACACACAGTTGGCTGTTCTTTGTGGTTTGGTCTTTAGGTTCTAGGATTCAAAATTCCGGAATGTGTGCAGAGCTGAGTGCTTGGCACAAAACCCAGGGGCTCTTTGTGGATCATTAGCTGATTTGCTTTCTGGTTTCTGTAGAGGCGTGTTCAACTTGCAGCCAAATACAAAATTGCTGCTTAACACAAAATTGTAAACGTGTGTAAAACATCATGAGGTGAGTGAGGTAGGTGTTTGTGTGTATGTTTGGCAAGGTTCTCAAGGATGACCTTTGTGTATTGGAAGCCCCTTTGGCCATGGGAATAACCCAGATGTTCATCTGGGTCCTGGTGAGGCCCTACCTTTTATGACCCCTGAACTCTCTTGGTGAAATTTACAAAGAATTCTTTTTCCTTTTTTTTATTTTTATTTTTTTGTTTTGTTTTGGTTTTGTTTTGTTTTTGCTTTTGAGACAGGGCTTTAGTTCATTATGTAGCTCAGGCTGACCTTGAACTTGCAGTAGTCCTGTTTTAGTTTCCCCAGTACTGGGATTTAGGCCTGAGCTACTGTTTCACAAGGAATTTGTAAAAGCCAAATTAATCTCTTTCACAAGAACACCTTTCTTTGTCTCGGTGTTTGGACAGAGAACAGGCTTTGATGGTTCTGAGGTTCACAGCCTAAGCCCAGGACTGTATGTACCAGGGCCTGGGCAGTGAGAAAAGAGCTCATGTCCTTAGGGGCTAGGGTGAGAGCTCCTAATAAATAGGACCTAATCTTCCACAGAGTAAAATGGAGCAGCATTCTTTTCAAAAACGTCCTATGTACATATGCACAAATTTGTTTACTTAGTGTGGGAGTGGGTGGGGCACAGCACATGTGTGGAGGTCAGAGGACAATTTGTAGGAATTAGTTATCTTCTTCACGTGCATCCCAGAGATTACAACTCAACTGTTAGGCTCTGCAGCTGCACCTCTACCTGTTGAGCCATCTTTCCAGCCCAGAATATCATTTTTGTTCCATGCAGTCCAGAAGGTGCAGACCAGTGTTTCTGAAATCTAAAGTTTAACTGGTTCTCAGCCTTATTTGTTTGTTTTGAATTTGTGTATTCTTTTAATCTGGCTTTATTTTTTTTAAGTGAAAAATCTATGAGAATTTGTGATTTTTGTACCTTTTGTGCTCATTATAAATCCATTGTAGAATTCAGTGGTTTAGAGTGCTGACTGCTCTTCCTGGGGACCCTGGTTTTGTTCCCAACTCTCCAGTTCCAGGGAATCCAAGCAGGAAAAATATTCATATGTGTGTGTGTGTGTGTGTACATATATATATACATATATATAAAATAAATGAATCTAAAAAATTAAAATAAGTAAATTACAATAGATTCATCTGCAATAATTTTCCTGCAGTTTATTTACTTGGTTGCTTTTTCTTTTTCTTTTTTCTTTTTTTTAGGCAAGGTCTCATTATATAGCCTTGACTGTCCTAGAATTCACTATGTAGATCAGTCTGGCCTCAGACTCACAGAGATCTGCCTGTCTCTGCCTCCCAAGTGCTGAGATTAAAGGTGTGTGCCATTAGGCCTGGCCCTGTTGCTTCTTGAACTTTGCACTGAGAAGTATTGACCTATAAATCTAATAGTTGCATATCAAGCTATTTAAAATAATGCATTATATTTAAACAACCTACCAAGCAAGTCCTGGTGTTCTTTCTGGTCAATGGGACAAAGATTCTCTGAGTTGAGCAGAGACCATCTTGTTCGGACCAGATACTCTGAGGGCTTAGCATCACAAAGAGGGGATGAAGGTCTCAATTAGCTTTTACTACTTTGAGATGGCCTGCAGGGCATGACTGTTCCCTCCCCGGAGCTGCCCTCTGTACACCAGAGACCTAAGCTCCTACTGGGGATATTGATTTAGTTAAAGAGCAATTTAGGGCACATTTTATTAATATGCTCGACATCAGCGTCACTGTCGCCTTTTCGTCATCTTAAATGATGTCCGAGCCCACTTATTTTTAGTTAGTGGATCTTTCCTAATTAGATCACCGCCGGGTGTGGGAGGGGCACGTGCCCAGCTACAACCCAATCAAAAAATATGCACCAAAATTACCGTGTGACTTAAATATATCAGAATTACCTTTCTTCTAACTGATGGCCTAGAACCTAAAAGATATAGTTTGTCTTTCCCAAACTGTTATAAAACATTTTTAGGTGATAAATGCTATCAGATGGAAATAAAATATTTAACACACAGGACCTCTTCCCGAGCGTGAATATATCTACAGATAATTGTAAGCTCCTAGGAATACTTGATGGGAAATATATTGATAATACAATTTTTCTTTTCAAAGAGATTGTAATGATTGCAAATTTGGTTTGATAATTAAATTAATAAGGAATGTGAGATTCCAACATGGGCCTCTCAGTGATATACAGAGCTAATATCTGTCTTGCCAACTAAAGAGGTTTTAAAAGACTGTGTCAGGTGATCTTCGCTGGTGTTTTTTCGCCCTTTGAAGTTAGGTGTGTCAAGTGTCATCTCTGAAAATTTTCATGAGAAAAAAAATGATCCACTAATACCCTTATTTTACTGTTAAAAAATATTTAGAACAGGGGCTAAAGAGATGGCTTCAGCTGAGATGGCTGACCTGCCAGTTTCATGCAGGAACACTCAGTTGGAAGTGAGGGTAGGTGGGGTTGCTGTGTGCTGGAGACACAGGTGTCCTGAATGGGGCACCCAGTTCTGTTGGATTCTGTTCACGTTCCTTGGCTTTTGGAAGTCTGTAACCTTAGGCCCTCTGACTGTGACCATCCTGATGGCCTTTGCATACTGGCCCCATCAGGTCTTGAACAAGTAAGTGAGTGTTGAGCAATTCAGATGACTGCTCTGGCCAGACCCTGGAGGACTGGAATCTTCCAACGATGTCCTATTGGTCTCTGCTGTTTCATCTTGTCCAAGCTGAAGAATTATCTAATCACAGTAGTCATGAAGAGACCAGAGGTAGTCCTGCAGAATTGAGGGGCTTGGAAAGGCTCTGTGTCTGGGGCTTACAGAGATGGTGTAAGGCAGAACAGGGATGAAAACCATGTGTCTCTGACTCTAAAAACCAACCCCTATACAAGTGTCATAAGACAAAAACCATTTTTTTCTGGGGGTTGGCTTATAGTTTCAGAGACTTAGTCCGTTATCACCATGGTGTGGAATGTGGCAGTGGGTATGGCAATGGAGAAGTAGTAGAGAGCTACATCCTGATCTGTGGGCGGGGAGGGGAGAAGGGCAGGGCACACGGGATGGGAGCATGGGGTTTTGAAACCTCAAAGACTCCCCCAGTGACACACTTCCTCCAACAAACCTACTCCAACAAGACCACACCTCCTAATCATTATCAAATAGCACCACTCCCTGAAGACTAAGTATTCACATAAATGAGCCTATGGGGGCCATTCCTATTCAAACCAATCCAGAGTGGTGGAGTCCTAGAGGAGAGCGGGTAGCAATCAGAAGCCAGACCAGCGGCTGAGTCCTGATTAAACTGGCAGCTTCTGTAAGGCAGTCACTTGGTGACCTGGGATTGAATCCAGGCTCACATGTCAGACAAGTACTGTACTGCTGAACACGTTCCCAATCACCAGAAAGCCTTACTGATTCCGTGAATGGTTGACTGGGCTTTAGCATCTTCTCAGATGCACACAACAGGAAAAGTCCTTGCTGGAGGAGCAAAGTGTGCCATGGCAAAGCCTGTGTCAGCCCCAGGAATCCAGATGCAGGTATCTGCCACCGACACTGGTCTGGAGCAGAGACTGCTGCTCTACGGTCGCTTTGGACAGCAATAGTGAACAGAGCAGGTGAGGCCCTCTGCTTCAGGTGGCTCTGGGCCCAGGCATGGGGTCCTGCTGGGCAGGTGGGTGTACTGGTTAGTTTTGTGTCAACTTGACACAAGCTGGAGTCATCAGAGGAAGGAGCCTCAGCTGAGGAAATGCCGCCAGGAGACCCAGCTGTAAGGCATTTTCTCAGTTAGTGACCAGGCAGGGAGGGCTCAGTCCAGGACTGGGTGCCCTGGGCTGGCGGTCCTGAGTTCTATAAGTAACCAGGCTGAGCAAAGCCAGTATACAGTCTCCCCCACTCCCCATAGCCTATGCCTCAGCTCCTGCCTCCAGATTCCAGCCCTGCTTGAATTCCTGACTTCCTCCAATAATGAACTCTGATTTGGAAGTGTAAGCCGAATAAACCCTTCCTTCTCCAGCTTGCTTTTTTTTTTTAGTCAATTTTTTTCCTTTATTTTACACAAATGTTAACATCAGTTTTGTCAGGCATATCATATTTATAGTCTAGAAATAAGTTCTATAACCCATTCTGTACCATTTATGGTCTATATGGTCTTGGCGAAAGGGACAAGGCAGTCCATGGACATCCTACCAGGATATGGACACACACAGCACATGGCCCTCAAAAAGGGGCAAAAATATGCTAAAGTTCAAACCTAGCCTCTTTAATATACATTTACCAGACCCAGAATAGCTAGGGAGAAGTGCTTGCTTAGCACCGGCAATGTTCTATGTCGAACCCTAATACAGCAACTTTGCCAAACTACATCTAGTTACAAGGTTCCAAAATCAAGCACCAAGAAGGTTACCTGCTGTTAGCCTTCAGCAGGTAGCTGTGCAGATCCCTTGTCTTCCCTCTATCAGTGACTTGCAATCACTGAGGAGTTAGTTCTTAACCAACAAATAACTTGTGATCACTGATGAGTTCTGCAAAAGAATGCATTTTTTTTTCATAAGTAAAATTTTAAAGCAATTTCCCAATCACACAGTCTTACTCCCAGATCTCGTGATTTAAGACCATTTAAGACACGGTTTGTCTCCTCAGTCATCGTCCAGAGGACTCTGAGAAGCCGTCGGAATATGCAGGCGCAGACTCAAAGCCCAGCTTCATCTCCAACGTTGTGGAATGGGACTGTACATCACAGGGCAGGGCCCTATTTCTTACCCCACTAGGGCAGATCCCGGGGAGAGTGACCTCCCGGGGTAACCACGTTGAACCCAGTTTGATTTTGGGTCAAGGTGTTTTGTAGCAGCAATAGAAACCCTAACTAAGAGAGTTGGGGTTTCTGAGTCAGTTGGTCTGGGCTCAAGGTTTGGTGGGTCCAGTCTTCCCGGAACCTGTTCAGGACTCGGTAACCCAGACCATGAGTTCGTTTTTTGTTCCTGTTGATCCTGTGAAGACTACACATTCCCTGCATACTGTGGTCCCAGGACGAAGGCCTTTGGGAATGGGAATCTGGGCCCTCAAGGCCTCAGAGGGATGCAGGTTCAGGACAAGGCTAGAGCAAGGCAGTGTAAGGCCGAGGGAGAGAGAGAGAGAGAGAGAGAGAGAGAGAGAGAGAGAGAGAGAGAGGCCCAAGCTGAAGCAAGAGTGGGAAGCAGTACCTTGGCCCACAGTGAAGGGTCAGGGGCTTTGGCCAGTTGCAAAGAGAATCCGGTACTTCCAGCAGCTTTCCAGACACCTGCCCAACTAGCAGGCGGGAAAGCAGGAGATTCTAAAACAACCCAAATTTCATAGAGATGTCCAAAGCCCTGCAGCTTCAGGCTGTGTCCAAAAACCCCTTAACTCTGTCAGGTTCCAGGTAGTAGAACTATCTAGAGGCATTGGGGTTGTGACCATTTTTAATCTTCAGAGGACTTTCCAAATATTAAGTGCAATTTATCAGTGTTTTGTAGAAATTAATTTCCCAAGGGATTTCTCTATATTATTCTAATTGCTTTCCATTGACCAACTAATTTTTCAAATTGCAGTTTTACAAAAAAAATATTCTTAGATGAGAAGTGTCTTGGTGGGAATACTGCTCTCAGAGAGGTTTGTAATCTTTATATCTGGACTTACATATTGCCCTTCTATTGACACTACTTTTTGATTAATATTGTGTAGAACACTCCCTAATGCACCAGCAGAATTAACTATGCAGAAGCATTCAGGCACACAGACATTATATTGATGAAATGACGTTTTATTGACAAAATGACAGTTTAATACTGAGCTCTCCTGAAACTGTTTATCTCATCAATTGCCTCTATTCTGATAGTGAACCTGTCAAGGCAGCAGTGATATAAATCTGTCCTGTTCATCATGCTGTTGATGATTCGGTGGATCATTCTGGACACCTTGCAACATGGACGGTGTCTCGTTAGGGTATCCTAATTCCAGTTCATTTTTGTGGTCATCCTGCAGATGGTGGTCCTGGAATACACCCTGTCATTGCTTTCTTGCAAAGCTCTCCATTGTGTACCTTTGGTGACCTCGGTCCTGCTTTCTCCTGGCTCAGAGACCAAACGGTATTTTCTAAACTCATGTGTTGAAGACTGAATCCCCAAGAGAGATCTCGTTTGGAAGCAGGGTCCTCAGAGATAATGACTGTAGGAAGTTGAGGTCGGTAGGGTGTTCCTAATCCAATATGACCAGTGTCCTTATAAACATAGGCAGCAGTGCACACAGAGGGATGTCATGTGTGGACTGGCCTGATGCTGCAACAAGCCAAGAGCTGCTGGAAGCTGGAGAGAGGGTGACTCTTGTCCACACCAGGACACTGGGCTCTATCCTCTGGACTACAAGAGAATGGTTTTTCTATGAGTATACAGTCATTTTGTGAAAGAACAGGTTTTATTGCAGTGTTTTCCAATGTTTTTATTATATACTTTGTTTAAATAAGAAAACTGAATTTTTGTTATTTGGGTTTCTCAGTTTTTACTATGTTCGACAATTCTTGGATATAAATGCATAATATTTAAACAGTGATATTTTGGGATTCTCATTGCTGAGCCCAAGGTTAAGCATGCTAGGCTATGGATGAGGTTCCCACAGAGATTCCTGGGTAACAGAGGTCTGGGTGTGAGAGAATACACTTCATGGTTGGGAACCCCTTCATTCACATCACAGAATAGAGTATGGGTGCCCAAGCACCCCTGTAGACAACTCCTCAGTATTTCCCTCTGGGAGTGAGCTCCAGCAAAACATATGCTCACACGGAAGCTAGATGTGGTCACCAATGACTTTTGCATCTGGCTCTTTTCTCTGGTCCTTACTGAAAAGAAAAAGGTCAAAGTCAGTGGGGGCAACAGAGAAAAACCAGCCTCAATGCAGTTTAGCGTGACAGTGTTTTGTAACTACCCAAGGATGATCAGATCTCTCCTCAGAACTTAATGGTTTGGAGTCAAGAGTAGGCCAGCAGCTGCCCTTCTGCTGTATCACCTAGGATGCCCGGCACTCTGGGATCCAGGTGCTGCTGTCCTGCCCCTTGAACATCTGTGTACTAACTAATTGGCAGTTTCATTGGAGAGGTATTAGAACCAAGGAGGAATATCATTTGCAGTTTCCTTCCCTCTTCTGTGCCATGGTGTTCATCAGAAGGACCACCCATGTATTGGTTATCAGAGACCAGCTTCACCAAAGATACCACTTACCAGGGTAGGGGCATGGGGATTAAAAAAGTAAAGAAAATGAAGATGCAAGTGAAAACAATAAAACAAGCACAGGACAGCACAGGAGGGAGCTCCAGGGAATACTGAAATCACCTGTGTTTAATTTCTATTTGCTTAAAATAACCCCCACCCAAAAAGGTAGGAGTAAGATTTTTAAAAAAACTGCATTAACGTGATACAAGAAAATGAACTACCGTTGAAAGTTGCAGGCTACATTCTTAGTTAAACATTCTGCTGCTAGAACAAGACAAGTAACACTCACACCTGAAGCCAAAACATTCTGTAGGCAAACCACTCCCTGGAAGGAATCCATTGTTATTTCCCTAAGGGAGTAGGAACTTATTTGGATCCTTTAGACTCTTGTTTGAGACAGAAACAAATCTATTTCTCTATACCTGAAATACAAGGTGTGGATATTAGCCACACCTGTTGATACTAACCTTGAGAGGGGAAGTAAGTTCCAACTCTCTGACCTTTGCTCAGGGTGGAATGGCAACAACTTTGAGCAAGGTGAAACTCTCTGACCTTCAGACAAGGTAGAAATAGGCTCACATTTTTGGGCCTCTATAATTGATCAGTATCTGAGAGTGTTCACAAATTATTTATGCCCTGCCTGGTACTCAGTTCTGCCCTGGTAGCTATCTGGGCAAGAGTGGAAGAATTGTGGTCTCAACAGTAACCAATATCCCTTAAGCCCCCCTCCATGCAGGGTGGTCATACTTCTGAAAGAGTCTTCCTCTTCTTGAGGACTTGTTATGACTCAGTGGGAACCAGATCTTAAGGCCAGATCAACTTAAACTTGGGTCATCCTCACCCTGGGGCAAATGGGCCTTTGTAGACCATCTGCAATATGTCAATCATCTTGCTTGTGCGGGACAATCTTGCGGTCTTTGACAAAATCAAAGCCACAGAGGACAACAGAGATGGTGGCCAGAGAAGACTTTTAGCATGTTTCAGACTATTTTTGAACAAGGGATAAAGGTGGGTTTGGTGCCTCTCTAAAGTCAAATTTCCAGACTCTGGCTTCCTGACTCGGGAGTTAGAGCTTCTTGCAGGACCGTCATTAGGTGGTCCACAGACTCACTCTGGGAATAAGCAAAGGAATATCAGTTTTGTCTCAAAAACGACTCCCATAGCAAAGGATCAGAGCAGGCATTGTCACTGCCAGGTTGGGCCATTTGACCTGGAGACTCATGCTTCCAGATCTATAGATGTGCCTGGCTGCAGCTGCTTTATCCTGGGTTTGGAAGCTCTGGAAAGGCGGCTTCATCTGTCCACAGGCCTGGGCCTTGTGTAATGTCAGGCATAGGGCACAGCTTTGCTTCTGGCATGGAACAGAAGCAAACTGACTTTGGTGAGTTTGAGTTAGACACCCTGCCTACTGGAGTGCTCACCAAAATCCAGAAGGCCTTTAACAGAAGTTTCACCCATCTGGTGAATAAAGGTGGTACCTCATGCTTTCTCTTCCAGCTGGCAAACATGTTGAACACTCACACATATGTAACTGGCTGTTTATATTTTCTCTTAGTCAATGTTCCTTTGCCTCTACACACCCCCACCCCGCCACCACAATAGCTTTGAGGCATAAATGCCCACAAGTTGTTCATATTTTTATATTTTTTAACAAAAATTTTAGCAGTTCAGGTGTAGCACATGCCTTTAATCTCAGCACTTGGGAGGCAGTAGCAGACCAACTTGGAAGTTCAAGATCAGCCTGGTCTACATAGCTACTTCTATGCCAACCAAGGCTACATAGTGTGACCCTGTCTTAGAAAGGAAAGTAGAAGGAAGGAAGAGAGGAAGGAAGGGAGGGAGGGAGGAGGGAGGGAGGGAGGGAGGAAGGAAGGAAGGAAGGAAGGAAGGAAGGAAGGAAGAAAGGAAGGAAGGAAGGAAGGAAGGACAAACAAGTGGGGAGATGATTCGATGGTTAAAGGACTTGGTGCCTACATGTGATGATGTGAGTTCAGATCCCCAGAACCCACACAAAGCCAGACACAGTAGCATGTATTCCTGCTGTAATGGCTTAAATAAAACACTGCGGTTCCCCAAGGGGCGGCAGTGGGTCACGAGGGGCAGCTGGGTCCCACGAGGAGCTGCAGCAGGTGAGAGACAGAGATGGATAGGCACGCCATGCAAAGTGAGTTTGAATATAGTTTATTCAGTAAAAGAGAAGGGGGAGGGGAGGAGAGAGAGAGAAATAGGGAGAAGCAGGGGAGAGAAGAGACTGTAGCCACTTCTTCTGAAGAGAGACTGGGCAGAGAGAGAGAGTACAGGCAGGAAGTAGAAGGAAGTTCCTTGCCTCAGTGAAAGGTGGGGAGAGTGGGCGGGGCTTGTCTCTTAAAGGGACAGTACAGACCCTTATACCTGCCACCGATGAGATGAGAAGTAGTGGTAGGAGAATCCCTGGAAGCTCAGTCGCTGCACACCTGAAGTGCTGTACACCTGAAGTGCGTAACCGTGAACACGAACACGATACCTGATGTGCTGTTACTAACCCACTCTGACGTTTTTGTTGTTGACTTTTGAGATAGGATCTCACTCTGTAACCCTTACTGGTCATGCATG